ATGTGGTCCCATAAAAGCTGGGATTCTTTGGAACAAGAAGCAACCCGATCTACACGGCATTATCTGATAGAAAACACAAAAATGCTGCCCAGACATCCCCTGTTAAGAAGTCTCCAGAAGAGATCAGCTTCATTGCAGTCAGGAAAAAAAAAAAAACAAAAAACCGCAATTGGAACGTCGAATTCCATATCGCTATCACGCATCTCAAAACGTCAGGCCACACATAAAGCCATCAGTCAACCACATCCATATGTATATAAAAGTATAGATAATGTACCTGTGCTTATACAGGGGTTTTCTGTCTTTTTATTTCGTACAGCGTTTTATGTGTTCGTATCTAGATACATTGTGTATATATTGTATACCGCGTGTATATGTAATTCTTACTGGTAATGAATTATTGCAGAATGTTGCATTTTTAGTGAATGTACCACGGAAGGAAACGGGAGCGTCTTTGCAAAGACAACGCCAACGTCATCTGGGCATGACGTTGTGGAGAAATCAGAAGTGGATTTTTTATTTCTTTGTTTTTGTTTTCCAGCTTGAGGGTTTCAGAGCCTCAACGTAGAGCCTTCCGTTAAGGGTCAGGTGTGCACCATGATGGGATTGTCAGGTGTGCATCGTGATGGGAGTGTCAGGTGTGCACCGTGATGGGAGTGTCAGGTGTGCACCGTGATGGGAGTGTCAGGTGTGCACCGTGATGGGAGTGTCAGGTGTGCATCGTGATGGGAGTGTCAGGTGTGCATCGTGATGGGAGTGTCAGGTGTGCACTGTGATGGGAGTGTCAGGTGTGCACCGTGATGGGTGATGTGTCAGGTGTGTACCGTGATGGGAGTGTTAGGTGTGCACCGTGATGGGAGTGTCAGGTGTGCACCGTGATGGGAGTGTCAGGTGTGCACCGTGGTGGGAGTGTCAGGTGTGCACCGTGATGGGAGTGTCAGGTGTGCACCGTGATGGCTGATGTGTCAGGTGTGCACCGTGATGGGAGTGTCAGGTGTGCACAGGGACGATGTGACAGGCTGACATTGCAACGGGAGGACCACCATCATGGTAGCTCACACCTCCCTCCCCTGCACACAGTTAACTCCTTCTTTCCTGGTGGCAAGGACAGTGCAGGTCGCGTCTCTCAGGGACCTTGGCGAGAACCATGCAGACCAGTTAAGTAACTCACCATGCTGGTTCCCCAGGACTTTGTGGTCTTAATCCTGGAACCTGGTGCCCTTTTATGGGTGGGGTATGAGGACCCACAGGAGAAAGTTCCTTCCATCAGGACAACCGGGTGGAGACGCAGCAGCTCCTTCCCCAAACCCACATCCAGTCCTGATGCTGGTCCTGCTGACCGGTGCTGAGCTTGGGGACACAGGACAGTCCTGCTGCCCCAGAAACCGAGGTGGCACGCCATAGGCCCAGAGCTGTCACATGACCATAATGACCTGCAAAGGTTGCTGGGAAGTGTAGTTTATCTGGGAAGGCTTGCACCTAGCTACAGCCCTGTGGATTCTGAAAACAGAACAGGCTTTTTGGGGGGAACCTGCATTTTCAAACACTCTGTGTTTTGAGATAGTATCTGCAGTTTTGACGTCCTGATGTCAACTTCTCACCTGAGTCTAAGAAAGATCCTAAATATTGCAATGAGCCTGATTCTACGTATATTAAGAACAAAAAGGTTTATTTGTATCTTTTCCCCCTCATTTCACCTGCAGCCCTCACTATGCACCAGGCCCGACCGGGAATGCTTGTCACACATCAGCTCATGGACCTGCACCACTTGCGGGACACGGAGCCCACGATGATGCCCGTTCTCCAGATGGTGCAAGTGGACGTCCAGAGAGGTTGTTTAGCCTGCTGCAGGTTGCACAGCTCCGAATGCAGGAGGCAGCCCGTGAACTCCTGAACGGAGCCTCAGCGTCTGGAGACGAATGCCGACCAGTCTCATGGCTACGTCCCTCGGGAAGCTCCACGAGTCCCCCGTCCTTTCCTGTAAATTAGGAACCCACGTACCCAGCACATAGTCATGGACTCACAAATGTCTTCGGGCGGCTCTGACAAGTTCTGCAAACGCAGTGGCTATGACCACAGACTCAGATTCTCTCTGTCTCTCAGTTCTGGAGACAAAAAGCCCAGGGTCCAGGCAGAGCAGGGATGCACTCCGGCAGAAGATGGTAGGGGACGGTCTGCTCCGGTCCCCTGCCCAGCTTCCGGCCGGTCCTCGGCTGGTGGCAGCTCCGCTGTGAGCTCTGCACCACATTGTCCCCGCGTGCATGTCTCTGTCCACGTCTCCCTTCTCGTGCAGACACGCCAGCCCCACGGGGCGAGCGCCCACCGTCCTCCGGGATGACCTCAGCTGATGACTTCTGCAGACTCTCCTTCCAAATAAGGTCACATTCGCAGCCGCTGCAGGCTACCACTCCAACATGTTAACTCGGGTGTGCGTGTGTGTGTGTGTGTGTGCTTTTGTCTTCCCGGTTTACAAGTCACACAGCAACAGCTGAGACCACACCTCCCCCCTCCGCCCCTGGAAAGCCGTGCATGGGGCGGCGGATCCTCGGCTGGGGAGGAGGGAGCAGAAGTGCTTTCCAAGCACGTGCAGGGAAATGGAAATAAAAGCACAGATCCCACAGCAGTCGCCGTCCTCTCGCCCCGCCTGAAGTTTGGTTCCAGGCTTAGGTCCGTTGGAGCCTGGCCCCCCAGGCACACTCCAGTGCCCAGGAGGAGCAGGGGCGTGTTGCTTGTTACAACAGGGTCCAGAGTATCTATTCCCCCCTTCACAGGGACACAGAGTGGACCTTATGGTCATTTCTCTCCTCTTTCTAGCAGGGAAGCATGCCTTCCTGGTGGCCTGGGGGTTTCCTTAAGGACATATGCTCCCCGCTTGGAACTCATCTGACACTCTGGGTCAGCCATACCTCAGTCGTCATTCGATCAATCCATCCATCAATCAAACGCTTCTGCTGTATCAGCCCTAGCCTTCCCCCTGCAAAAGACAGGCCTCCGAGGGCTGATGATTCCAACATGCTTATTCTAACTGCGTTGAACATTAACCCATTTCTCCTTCTCACTTGGGTGATTTTCTTTTCTTTCTTTAAAGATTTCATTTGTTTATTTGAGACCGAGAGAGCACAAGCAAGGGGAGAAGCAGGCTGTGGGAGACAAAGCAGCAGGCTTCCCACTGAGCAGGGAGCCCCGTGCGGGACTCGATTCCAGGACCCTGGGAACATGACCCGAGCCAAAGGCAGACGCTTCATGCACAGAGCCACCCAGATGCCCTACACCTGGGTGACTTTCATCCCCCAATCCCGTAACTACATTCAAGTGTCTACCATCCGTCCTATTCCCAATGGCGCTGACGACAACGTATCTTCCTCGGGAAGGCGACAGGGGCCCATCTCCTCCCCAAACACCTGCCGTGACCCTCGGGACAGAGCAGACACGGCAGCAGATGCAAACACACCCCCTAACGGACACCCAACCCCGCTCAGGATTGCACTGATGCGATGCCTGCTAAGCTGTGTAGACAGCTTTGTGAGTCTGGACCTGCCCTGTGCTGTCCCCTCTTTGTGGGTGGGGATTACAGAAAGCAAGAACACGGCAAGCCAACCGCGGTATTTTTTTTTTTCTTTTACGTTTATTTAGAGTGATGAAAATTTATGTATGACAGGTACAGAAAAAAAAAAAAACTAGATGGATGTATGTCCTTATAAATGCTTCCATGGCGTGTGGCTCTGACTGCAAAGGTACAAACGCGTGTGTCCGTGCACACCCACATGCACTCACACACGCCTTCAACCCCCGTCACGAGAAACCCAACACCGAAACTCACATCCAGGAAACCTAGCGCACGAGGACATTCCCGTCCCGGGAGGAATTTCGGGCTGCCGTCTTGAAACGGCTCCAGTCACCCATGAAACCCAGATGTGAGACCCGACATTGAGATTCTTGGCTGCAAATTCCATTTTGTTTCTGGAAACCTCTCTTTAGGGCTTTCTGCATTCGACACCCCCTCTTTGGAGACCTAGCTCCCAAGCCACAATGGCGAGCACAAAGCCTGGGACTTTTCTGGGTCCTCTCCACGAGTTGCGGATGTTATTAATTGTTTTTATTCTGACATTTAGGGCAAAGCCCAAAAGTGCTCTAAGCACGTACCTAAGTCGAATGAAACTATACCCATAAGCCCCAACTGTCCTTTTTCCTTTCCCCCAAAATGTTAGTAAAATAGAAGCAAACAGCTCGTCTGCATTTCAGATGCTTGGACATTTAAGGTTTCCTCTTACGGGTCTTAAAAAAAAAAAAATCATACACTAAGAAAAAGGATGGCGTCGCACAAAGGACAGAAACCTACAGGGCATCAGAGGGAAACTAATACAGGAGGACAGTCAAGAGACACACATCGCGATCGCTGTCCCCTATTTTCCCAGAAATCCCGAAACCTTAAGATTTCACAGGAAAAGGAAAAGCATCCTGAGGCCGCTTCCCCCACTCCTGCCCCCCGCCTCCCGCTCCCGAGATGGCTTGCCCTCGAGCAACTGTGCACGCACAATCCCAAAACCCAGCTTCCGTTACGGGCAGGAGAGGGAGGGTTGGTCAAAGCCGTCCCCAGGGGTGAGAATCCCGCATCCCACAAGAGCCAGACCGGGGGGCACCGGCGGGCGCCATCCCTCGGATGGAGACTCAGCCTGGGCCAAGCTTCCCCCCAGAGCTTCCTGGAAACCATCCCCCCACCCCCAGTGGTGTTCCTGATACCCCAAGAAGAAGACAGCACCCGTGTCCTGGGACCTGCACTGTGCTTTGGGGAGACACGCAGGGGTCACCCACATGCACGTCCTGCACGCCGAGGTAGCGCTGGGAACCCAAGCCAGAGACGGCATCTATCCACAGGCGCCATCGAACCATCAGAGGAGGGAAGAATCTTTGTTCGACCCGAGGAGGAACCCAGTCATGCTCATGAATGCCCCGTGTCCAGCGGACTGGGGATGCTTTCTGGGCCAAACCGAAGTCACGTCAGGGCGGCGGGTGACGTCGACGATGAAAGGAAGTGTCCCAGGAGCGGCCAATGGCATTCCCGTCTACACCGAGTGTCCCCCCAAGCGACCGCTGGGTCTCCAAACCCTCACACGTGTGCTGGTTCTGGAAGGGAAGACGGGGAACAGCATGTCATACCGAGGGTGAATTGACCAACTATGTCTTTTTGGGAAACAGCTAATTTTTGCACAAATCCCCCTTTATGGATGGGGCTCCATTAACCGTCAGAACCTCAGAAGCAGGAGCTTTTATTACTTGCAGTCGAGCAAATAAAGCCAAAGCGTCATGCTCAAACAGTCCACCTGTCGCCCTGTATGTGGCCCCAGAAGTGTGTCCCCAGAAGGTGTGGCAGCTTCAAAGTGGGGCTGTTGCACATGTCCAGTTCCACACGTTGCGCACTGCAACGCATCCCCCTCCAACTTGCCAAGACAGAATGTCACAAGTCCTTCTGCCGACAGGGGACCTCCCGGACCCAACGTCACAGCTGGGCAAAGTCAGTGTGAGGGGGTAGAGCCACGCTCACTGCAATACTGAGACCCTCCCGCACACCCACGTCTCAGACGAAAGCCTAGATGGAACCGCCATGGTCATGCGTGCTAGACGGTTTGCAGGTCCGGCAGCCGGCAAGACCAGGTAGCCCCAGCATGAGTCCTGCCCATCTTCAGAGGGTCCCCTCATCTTGTGACAGTAGGTGTGCCTGACTGGAGCCTAAGGACCCTAGTTTTAACAGACGGGCAGGCAAACGTGGTGTCCATGGGACCCAGGGACATGATCCCTGAAGAAGAGGTAGTGGAGGGGACTTCTGAGGGCTCAGTCAGTGAACCCTCAGGTCATCATCTCAAGGTCCTGGGACTGAGTCCCACATCTCATGGGGCTCCTTGCTCTGCGGGGAGCCTGCTTCTCCGTCTCCCCCTGCACGTCCCCCGGCTCCTGCTGGCTCTCTCTTGTCCTCTCTCAAATAAATAAATAAACTCTTAAAAAAAAAATAAACGAGTCACTGAAAAACTAGTTGGGATGTTTCTCTAGTCTCCAAAGAAGCAAAGAGAGTGTCCAGACGGGAAAAAAGAAAACAAAACAACAAGAAAAAACAAAAAAGGGCATCGTCTCAGATACACAGGGAGACCATGATCCGTACTGAAAAACAGCACAAAACAAACAAACAAAAAAAAAACCAAAACAAAACAAAACAAAAAAAGTCCTCCAGCTGCTGCAAAAATAAACAAACAAACAAACAAAAACCCCAATTCAGGTCCACACTGCCGGGTTCCAAAATGCCCGCGTATCCGTCTGGAAGGAGGAATCCAAAATCACGCGTCTGCCATGCGTCTGTGATGATCCACGAATGCCCAGACATCCGAGGGGTTTTTCAGAGGCTCAGTTTCCCCCCAAGCTTTTTGGGGTGGGGAGTAGGGCGGGGAGTGGGGGGCGGGTGTGGTGTAGACCCGAGCTCCCCAGTGTCTGGATTTGGTCAGTACTGCCCGTCTGCCAGCAGAGGGAGGCCCTGGGCAGGTTTTGGGATTTTGCAAGCCTCCCTCAAACACTCTTCTGCAGGCTTCCTTAAGGGACACAAAGGAGACGGGGTGAGCGCACCCCACACACCCCAGATGGAGTCCTTCCTGGCTGCCTGCTCTGGGGACCACACCTCAACACTCCCTCAGCTCATGTCTGTCCCCTACAGCCCCCTCTCTGTCCCTGGACCCTCCCTGCAAACAGGTCTTCAGCCCAGGACCTGACACCTTCGCCCCCTAAGGAGGCATGATTCTCCAAACCTAGGATCCTGGATCCCACCCCCCAAAAAAATCCTGAACTAGAAAGCCACAGTGGCCCCCCACCCATTTCCTGGGGGAAATTTTGCAGGAATTCAACAAAAAGCCTTCCAAGTCTATCCGTCCATACTTTCATTTTTGGAGAGAAAGACAAAGACAAACACCGCAGGTTCCACCGAACCATTTCCCGAATCCCTTAGGATCAACAGAAACGGTGTCAGCCCAGCTGTTGGCAACCCCGATTAACATTTGAGTCTAGTGAGTGACGGGCAGAAACACCCACTCTTGCCAATCCCAAAGCTGCTTAAAAAATAATAATAATAGAAGGAAAAGCATTCCCCCTTGAAGACCCAACTTAACACCACATCCTTAGGTGACAGTGCTCTGTGGGGGCGAACCCAGAAAGAACCCAGCCCAGCGACAGGCTCCAGGAGGCATCTGTACAGAGCCCGAAACTTGCCGTTGGTCCTCAAACAGTTCCTCATTCGGTTGCGTTGGCAGTAACCGGCCGCGGCACCCACCAGCGTGACCACCAGCACGGACACGACGGGAGACACGATTTTCGCTACCGTATTACCTGCGGGATGGAGACACCAAAGAGGGGCTCAGAAAACACACAGCGAGCGAGGGCGGCGAGCATTGCAAATTATCCCATAATGTCAGCTCACAGTCTTCCCAACCTTAAATGCACGGGGCGGGGGGTGGGGAGAGGGGAATATAACTATAAAAATAAAAACAAAGAAGGGTGCTTGGTTGGCTCAGTGGCTTAAAGCCTCTGTCTTGGGCTCAGGTCATGATCCCAGCGTCCTGGGATCGAGCCCCACATCAGGCTCCCTGGTCAGCGGGGAGCCTGCTTCCTCCTCTCTCTCTGCTGCCTCTCTGCCTGCTTGTGATCTCTGTCCGTCAGATAAATAAATAAAATCTTTAAAAAAAAAAAAAATAAAGACAAAGAAAGAACAAGAAATCCCGAGGAAAGGAACCTGCTTTTACCCCATTTGGAGATTATGGACGGCGTCTTACCCCGTTAGGACGTTCAAGTCAGAGCATTGGAAATAAGAGTCATGCGATTGCTTTTTTGCGGATTTGTTGAATGGGGCGCATTTGTACCTTTTTTGAAGTACAATGCTTATACTTTTGCAAAAAAAACCAAAGACAAAATAAATACTCAACACACGCGTGGCCTCATACAGCTGCCTTCAAAGCCCTCCACAGAGGCACGCACCAAACCTGACCCCTCTGAGGCAGGCTTACAGCCAACAGTTTGGTGTTTCTGCCCCGGGACCACCCCGCCTGACAAAAGTCCACGCTTCTGAGAAAGAGGAAATCGCTGCTTCCGCTGGCGAGCGCGACCTGTGTCTGCATCAGAGTGGGTCCAGCAGCTGGTGTGCCGTTGGGCTGCGTATGTGGCCTCCAGCGGACCTTGGCTTGGAGACTGCCGCCTGCAGGAAGGACAGCTTGCCCCCTCCCCACCCCAGTCTGGCATCGGTCTCCCTGTCCGGACGCAGAACCCCATACGTTCCATGCAACTGCCGGCGCGTCGCCTTGATTTCTGTCTTGGGCTTTGCCCCTCCAGAGCCCCAGCTTGGGTGCGAGAGGAGAACAGAAGGGATGGATGCCCTCCCGACACCAACACAGCCAGGCAACAAGGAGCTACCCCGAGGCCGTGCCCGCGCACCGGGGCGCGGGGGCTGGAAAGCGCGTCCACGCGTCCTTCTCCCGGAGCATCTACCACGCACAGAAGCCCAGCGTTGAGGCGGGGGAGCGCATTCAGCCTCAACGCGAACCCTGGATGGCTAAGAGGCTGCATTCTGCAAGCAAGGTATGACCAGCGTGGGCCTTCTGGCCTCCACCCGTGCCTTGTCTGACCTGCTCTGGGGCGGGCACTGCATTTCTAGGGCGCTTCCTGAGGGCGGAATGTCCACACCAAAGGCCCATACCCCTTTTTGGTTTCCTGTTCTTGCGCTTGCTCGAAGTCATGGGAGCCCTCGGTGGCCCTAGGACAGGTCCACGAACCCCACCCTGCGCTGAGATCCTTGAGGCATCCTCCAGCCCTAAACCCACCCACCTCCCTCCTTCTCTGAGTCTCAGGGAGCTGAGCCGCCCAGAGAGGCAGACCGCGTTGCTCAGGAGTTTCCCAACCGAAGAGCCACTGGTCCATGAAAACCCCCGTGGGCCCGCCCAAAGCATGTTTTTATTAAAGATGGGGGGGGCGCTGCACGGAGCCATTACCTTGTGGGTTCCCATAGGTCGAGTATCCGTCTCCGCCTGTAAAGGGGAAGGCACACGGTCATGGGTTTGCCCAGCAGAGTTTGCACTGCCGGGCGCCGCGAGAGAGGCTGAGCAGGCAGCTAGAAGCAGCGGAAAGCGCCGCAGACGGACGGGGATCTCCGAGGTAGGGACGAGCCAATGCATTTTTCACTTGCCCCCTGGCACTCCTCACCATGGATGTAGCCCCGGCCAACCCCTCCCGAGGCTGTGTCCGCCCCCTCCTCAGGGAGAAGGTATGCTCCCCGCAGGCAGTCGGAGATCTGAGTCAGAGAGTCAGAGAGGCAGACCGCGTTGCTCAGGAAAGCGCCGCACGGGATATGCGCACACGTTTGCCCCCGCACCGCGCACGTGCGCTCAGCCACAGTCATGCTCGTGCGCACGCGAACGGGTGCATACACGCGCGTCGCCACCCATGCGCACGAGCACACACTCACATTCATGTATGTGCACACCTGAACAGGCGCGTACACGCACACATCCACCCACGCGCCCCTCCATCCATGCGCGCCTCTCCACCCACGCGCACGAGCACGCACTCGCATTCATGCTTGTGCACACATGGAATCATGCGTACACGCACACCGCCACTCATGCACACAGCACCACCCACGCGGACGCCTCCACCCCCAGGGGCGTGCACACCTCCACGCAGGCAGACCACATGCGAACACACCTGCAGGCACACACAAGCCCTACATATACACACGTGTGCACACCCACCTGCACACACACACAGTGCACACAGACACACAAACATCTACATGCAAATCCCTATACACAGACGCACACAGACACACACATACGCACACGAGGACACATGCCCGTGTGCATTAGCAAGTAGACACGTGTGCGCAGCCACATGCACAGGAACGCACACACATGCATGGACAGACGATGCACACATGCACCCATAAATGTCTACCCTGGCACGCACCCATTTGCACTCACACACACACACACTGGCACACATGTTTGCGCACAGGGGAGCACGAAAGCACGCGTGCACACACACACATATTTCAGTTGCAAGCAGGGCTTACTTACTTCCTGGCAAGAAAGTAAGGTTTCACGGCATGCAAAGGTGTGGACGCGAACCAGACCCAGAGGGTCCGTTCATTTCCACGGCGGAGACAACAGCAGAAGCTTCCCGCCAGCGCCCAGACCGGGTGGGGTGTTAGTTCTCCCCAAGGACAGTTTCTCCGCACACAGCTCATTAGAAATAATCCCTTTACCATAATTATTTCCGTAAGAGTTGGGTCTAGAGCGCCCTCCTCCTGCAGGACAGAAAGAGCACGTGAAACGGAAGAGAACCCTCCAGAACACTGGGTGACACCCCTCAGAAAACCAGCACAAGCGGAACTTCCAGGCCAGCCTCCCCGTGCAAAGGGAAGGAGCGCAGTCACCATGGGGCAGCCACTGACACACAGGGAGCAGCAGCTGAGGTCAGCCTGCAGGTCGCAATGGCTTCCCCGGACGCCCTCTGGAACCTGTGGCAAAGGGCTCACACCATGCTCGCGCCCCAAGACCGGGGGCTGGTCTACGCTCCCGTGCAAACACGCTTTCCAGGAGGCCAGCCCGGGGCGTGCCGTGGGGACAGACCATAGTCATCCTGGCCAGTGAAACAGAAAGATTTCTGGCACCTTCTTCTCACGTCTGGAGACCCATTTCTCTACAAAGGTATCAGATGACAAACGAAATGCTTGATGTCAATTTTGTTAACTCGGAAAGGGGAGCGATGTTGCAGGTGCCGTTTCAACACTGATGGGTCATTTGAGGGACTGCCTCTTGCAAATGGATGATGGGGGTAACAGGTTGAGCCATGTCCCCCTCCCCAAAATTCCTATGTTGAACGCCTAGCTCCCCGGGACCTCAGGACGGGACTGTGCTTGGACCCTACAGTGTTCCCCGTGCCTGCTTATCAAAATACAGGATAAGCTTTAGTCCCAGCATTTGCACGGAAAGAGGATGATGGGGGGGCATCACGTTGTCACACTGAGTTTAAAACAGACACCTCTTGGGATGCCTGGGTGGCTCAGTGGGTTGAAGCCGCTGCCTTCAGCTCAGGTCATGATCTCAGGGTCCTGGGATCGAGCCCCGCATCGGTCTCTCTGCTCAGCGGGGAGCCTGCTTCTCCCTCTGCTGCTTCCCCTGCTTGTGCTCTCCCGTTTTCTCTCAAATAAATAAATATTTTAAAAATTAAACAAAAATAAAATTTGTAACTGTGTGTGCCCACGCACCCACAAAAAATAAAATTTGTAACCATGTGTAGCGATAGACACAAAAAATAAAATTTGCAACTATGTGCGTGGACAGAGGTTCCCCAGACTTAGAGCCGCGACATATAATTAATGTCGAATCACTATGGTGTACACCTAGACTGGATACGATGTTATGTGTCTGTTGTATCTCAATTAGAAAAAAAATCAATCCGTAGCATTTCATTTTCCCAGCGATGATGTTTTGTTCTCGGTCTTCTCCCTTATGGAAGCAGGGAGCGTCCTAGGGCTTCGAGATCTGCCAATCTGACGGCAAACAGCTCAGTGCAGACAAGAACCCAGGAATCGCCCCTGTGCACTTTTCCTTTTTGGCAGAGTCTGCCCCCGTGACGCGTTTTCCGTTGGGAGTAAATCAGCCGCCTACAAAAAGTCCCCAATGTGCTGAATGTTGTCCCCCCTGCGAGTGCCGCTGCCCGTCGCTCTGTTTCCCACTACCCAGACGCTGGGGCCCCTGGACAGCAGGACGCAGCCAAGTCAGAGGGTCAGCTCGGAGAGGTGGATGCCAGCAGACAGAGTGCCAACGCCCGAGACCCCAGGAACAGGCTGAGATGGGCATGCAAGGGGGAGCCCTGCAGAGATGACCCCCACCCCACCATGCACCAGGGGCCGGGGGCTGGGCATACCGTGCGTGTTTCCGGACCCGTCGTTGCTGGGGTGGTAGCTCCCGCCGCCTCCTGCAGGAGAGAAGGTTCACATCAGGGATGCTCTGCTGGGAACCACGGGGTTCCTGGTGATGGCCCCAAAGCCATGCCCACGACCCAGCCCAAAGAGAGCTTCACAGGGTGGCAAAGAGTGGGGACCACCAAGGTGTATCCAAGGCTGCCTCCCTCAAGTCACAGCTTTCTGGAAGGACAACGCACGCCAAGACAGACCCCTATGGCAGGCTCGGTGCCTTCAGAAAACACAGATGAACCCTGAGAGCCTTATGGGAATGCAGATGTGTCCTTCTCCTGCACAGAGATCCGAGCAGGACCGGTCACCCTGACACAGAAGCACCTGTATGACACGGGCACACTGGGCAGGCAAACCCCATCACGCACGTCCTTTCTTAGGAACCAGGCATTTTTATGGTTGGCTGGTCATGACCGTCACAACCTCGAAGGCAAAGCTGTTTGTTCCCAGTGCTGAGCATGACAGAGAGAAGCGGCACATATACCCCGTGCATCCACACCACACAGATGTCCCTTGGCCAGGTATCGGGGCCGAGTCCTCACCTCTTCCGAAACACATCACGCGAGACAGAACAGAGGAGAAACCCCGTGTACCTGACACAGAGCCTCACGCGGTCCAGCCTGGAGCCTGGGCCTGCAGAGGGCTCTGTCCCGACTGTCTGCGCTTTGGTTTATGTATGAAAAATTCTCTGCAGGTGTCCCAGTCCCGTGATAGAGAGAACGTCCGTCCCACTAAACCTTTACATACACCTGTGTACGTGTGCATCAGCGTAAAGCTGGAAACATGACTCTATACACACATATGCACCATAAATGTGTATTTAGGTACGTAAAAGTGCAGCGATAATCATAGAAACACACATAAAAATATACACATGTACGTGTCAAAGTATATGAATACACCTGAAGATATATATACCCACATACATATGCAGAAGTAGAATAGGGGCGCCTGGGTGGATCAGTGGGTTAAAGCTTCTGCCTTTGGCTCAGGTCATGATCCCAGGGTCCTGGGATCCACCCCACATCAGGCTCTCTGCTTGGTGGGGAACCTGCTTCCTCCTCTCTCTCTGCCTCTCTGCCTACTTGTGATCTCTGTCTGACAAATAAATAAACAGAATCTTTAAAAAAAAAAAAGATATATCAAGATATGCGTATATAAAGGACCATAGTAATGTCTATAAAGCGATCCGTACATGAATATTAAGGGATATATTCCTACGACAAGATAGAGACATGTGCATACAAAGATGTTTCTATGCATGTGACTAAGGGACACATGCATAAGCCACGATGTGCAGAGACGTGTACAGACAGGTGCATTTGGAAATGTCTATAAAGGGATCTGTGCTTGAATCTAAAGACATAACTATGCCTTCCCATATACAACGGATATATGCATCCGGATATATACAGACGTATGTATACAAAGGTCCTTATATCATTGTATACAGAGGCATATGTATATAAGATATACAGAAACATTGTATGCAGAGATGTTTCTGTAAGTGTATATAATGGATACGTGCGTAAGTAAATCTAGAGAGAGACCTGTATATAGACAGGTGCATGTGCAAATGTCGATAAGGGTATCGTACATGAATATGGAGATAGGTAGATATGTGCACACACATGTAAGGGATATATACCTAAGTGAAGATATACAGAGACATACGCATGCAAAGATGTTTCTATAAATGTATATAAAAGATACAACATAAGTAAATTTGCACGGAGACACGTGTACAGACAGGTGCACTTGTAAATGTCTATAAAGAGATCGTGCGTGAATGTGGAGATCCTTGGAGAGCTACGTGTCTGTAAACCCATACGCCTTGCAGGATACCCATATGGACAGACGTGTCGGCAGAAAGGCACATGCACAGGTGTGTGCAGACTACAAAAGAATGCACACGTGGGTACACACAGACATACACACGCACACATGTGTGCACAGACACGGCCACCACTTGGAAGTCCAAATGGCCCCGCGGCCAGTGTCGCCCACAGCACCAACCTCCAGAAGGGACAAGTGCGCGGAACACGTCATCCAATAAGGCACGGGATGTGGACACCCCGTGCACCCAGTCTTCCGCTCGGGGCCAGCTCTGCACCCAAGCCTCCCTGACACGTCCCCAGTCTAGGGAGAGAAGTCATGGGCATACCTGCGGGCGGCTTGGGTCTGGGTGGGTAGCGGCCGTCATCCCTGTCGGTGTTGCCGAAGTAACCTGTGGAGTGAAACACAGACCAACCCTCAGACCCCGTGCAGAGAGCACTCAGTCAACCCCAGCCCACCAGCAGCTTATGGAGAGCGGGGCCGACCCCTTCCATGAAGCCAGGACACTGGCACCAAACTGCAGGTGTCCCCAATGCCGTCCAGGTGGGATGACATCCTTCCTGTGGGACGAGCATACGGGTGGTCCAGCAGCGTGGGGAGGGTAAGTGCATGAATGGGTCCCTTATGATCTGAGAGCTGAAGGGAGGTACAGAATGCAGAGGAAGACAGTGATCCTTCACCTTTCAGACCCCCAGGCCCCAGGGCCTTTGCACATGCCCTCTGCACTGAATGCAGGATCCGTTCCAGTCTCAGGCCCTGTGCTAAGACCACCTCGACCCTGGCTGGGACCCCACTGTCCCATCCATTCGTTCCTGCCCCTCAACATGCCGCTTGGTGACTGCGGCAGAACCAGCCTCTGCACACGGCATGTGCTCATGTAAACACTTTGGAACTTCTCTTTGTAAGCGGAAGCTACTGAAAAACTTGGAATTTCCAAACACACCTAAGCTGACGTAAATGAAAGTGTTTCTGAAAATTTCCTAAAGATGGATGCTGGTTGCTGGGGGAACCAAGTGCCCCCATGATGAGCGGGTCACAAATGGCCATCAAGCCATGTGTGACCTCTGGGGATGAGAAAGACACCACAGGATGAGTTAATCCCAATGACCCATGATTTAATCAATCATGCTAACGTGATCGAAGCCTGCCTAACACCCCAAAGGACTGGGTTCAGTGAGAGTCGAGGTCATACTGAAGGAGGGATGCTTCCCCCGTCACTCCATGGGAACACAAGCTCCCATCCGGACCCCTCCAGACCTCATCCCATGAACCTGTTAACCCAACAGCTTGTGCATATCTTTCATCAAATCCCATACGGTAAACCAGCACCTGTATAAGCCACTCTAGCAAATTAATGGAACCCAGAGAGAGGGTTCTGAGAACCTCCAATCTACAGCCAGATGTTCAGAAGCTCAACCTGCATTTGCCAAGTATCGTCTCAACTGGGGACAGTGTCCTTGGACTGAGCCCTTACCCTGTGAGATCCGGTACTATTTTTGGGAAACAGGAGCATGGTGATGTGTGCTCCCCAGAATTTCCCTGCCCTTTTCTGAATAAAGTTGCTTATATCCCGAGCCGGTTTCTTTAGGGATTTTTTTGGTCAAAATAGAAAGAAATTTAATGTGCACTTGGGTCCCCAAAAGTCCCTTTTGGGTTCAGTGATTCCCTTTGTTAACATTCTCCAGGCACCAAATGTCCTGACCCTTTTCTGGGGATGCTGATATATGAGGGCTGGTGAGAGGGCCTGACCTGTCCACTGGGGCCGTTGCGGGGACGTCCGTGTTTGCAATCAGAAGAAACCTCGGGGCCTTGAGAGGTGGGGGCCAACCTATCGGCACAGCCCAGCTGCAGGATGTGAGTTGCCCTAGGATGGTGGGGTGCTAAGGAGGTGTCAGGAGGCAGCAGCAGTTCCCATGGACAGTGATCACCGTCCAGATAGGAAACTGTGTATCTTGTCTAATGGCTCTGGCCACAAGCCACAGCCTGCCCACCTTCCAGCTGCCTTCTATGCACCCACAGGGACACAGGTCCCATTGGAGACCCCAGCCCTCACATCTGAGCTGGATGGTTGCTAATGCCATGAAAATGCGCACCACTAAGATCAGCGCTGGAAAATGTGCATGCAATGGAAAATCCTACAGAAAGTGTCCACCGGCTTGGAAAACCCTACAGAAGGCATCCACCTTCTTGGAAAACACCACAGAAGGCATCTACCTGCTTGGAAAACCCTACAGAAGGAGTTCATCTGCTTGGAAAACCCCACAGAAGGTATCCACTTGCTTGGAAAACCCAACAGAAGGCATCCACCTACTTGGAAAACTCTACAGAAGGCATCCACCTGCTTGAAAAACCCAACAGACGGCATCTACCTGCTTGGAAAACCCTACAGAAGGAGTCTGCCTGCTTAGCAAACTCCACAGAAGGCATCTGCCTGCTTGGAAAGCCCAAGAGAAGACATCCACCTTCTTGAAAAACTCTACAGAAGGCATCCACCTGCTTGGAAAATAGTACGGAAGGCATCTACCTGCTTGGAGAACCCTATGGAAGGAGTCTGCCTGCTTGGCAAACCCCACAGAAGGCATACACCTGTTCACTGCTCCCAGATGGCTGAAACCTGCATGTTTTGTCCCCAAGAGCCAAGACATGGCCCCAGAGATGCACGTAGAGGGGTTTGGGATGCCCTAAGCATCCTTTAGCAAAATCTGTCTGCATGACCCGCCCATCTCTCCAAACAACCTTCTCTCCCCCACAGAGTTCCAATACCCCCTGCCCTCCCAGGGTGTGTGTATAGGACTGAGCTACTTGGAGCCCAGATGACCTCCAAGGGGACCTACTCAGGGTTTGGGAGACCATCTATAGTCACCCTGCATCTCTTTCCCCTTCCCTCTATTAAGGACACCATAGCTGGTCTCTGTCCTGTCTCTTAGAAACCCCCATAGAGAAGCCTGGCTGTCCATCCTGGGGTTGTTCTCTCAGGAAGAGTTGCTCCATCAGGGATGCCTGCCCAGAGCTGTGGGGACCGCCGGGAAAGGAGCTTCTGGAAACCTGTCCTGCCATCCAATAAGGGCCAGCCACCAAAGACATGGCAGTATCTTCAAGAGGCTATTATGAGGCTCTGGAGAGCTCATGATTTCCCATTAATTTTGTTTCAAGTGGGCATCTCCAGAAACATCCATGAGCTGAGACCAGTGTCCATCATGACCCCTCATGAACACCATGGAGGAGACAGAATGCCACGGCCAGGGATTTGGGGAGGGTACGGGGGACTGTGTAGACCATTCCAGCCAACGGAGTTGAGCGTGTGCACTCTGATGGAGAGATTTAGTGGGCTGGCTCTTCTGTCCCCAACATGGGAGTGGACTGCTAGTAAAGCAGCTGCTGGGCATTCGAAAACCATCGTCACTTCACCATGGAGGACAGAATTTCAAGTGGGTCAATATGGACGGTGCATCCATTCCCAACGTTTCTAAATCCAGGATTAATAGGATTAATACACTTACCTCCGCCACCGTCAGAACCACCGGGCTGGGGTCGAGGATGTGGCCTCGGCCTTGGGTAGATATCTGTCGGAAAGGAGCATGGGGACGTGAGGAACACTTCAGGAGGCCCTTGACGTAGCCCAGCCTCATGTGGTTCTACGTGGTCAGATTTTAGGTTTTGGGTGCTATTGGATCACCAGGGACTTGACTGACAATGTTTCCTTTTATTTTATTTAATTATTTATTTTTTAGGAAATCTATGGGAACTGGGTCTACCAGGTTTTTGAAGCCAAGGAGACACGGAGGGTCAATGACTTTTAATGCACGGTGCACACAGGGGGGGATTTATGAGCAGGAGATAATTTGGAGCCCTGCAAACGAGTGGGAAAGGAACTTGTCCTCAGCATCACTACAAACCATCATGAGCACGTACAAGACCGTCTGAGCATGTGGTATTTTCCAGAGCTCAGAGCAAGGGGAAATAAAATGAGTGATGTCGGTTCGACCTTCCGGCCCCCTCCCGCTTAGGAGTGCGACTCCGTTTCCTGCAGAGTGAGCTGCTCCTTATTCCGAAAGCAGCCTGACTGACCCCCCCATCCCCGTTAAGACAAGGCAGGCTTCACGGAACCAGGCTGGAAGGGAGCCCGAGGGCTGAGAACACTTACTTCCACTGTCGTCCGGCATCCCGGGCTGCGGGTGGTACGGCGGCTTCGGCTTTGGGTAGAGATCTGCGGGGGAAACGACATTGCGTTTTCAGTGCAGAGAAACAGCCTCCTGTCACGAGCGGCCTATACAACAAGGACGTCGTGCAAGTACCGATTTTCTATCTTACTCACATCTGCTGCTCACGGTGTCACAGATGGCCACGGACCCACTGGACATGACTGAGTCGGCAGACGTAAAATCTGAAAACTACAACTTAAAGGGAAAACACACAAGGGTGCGCGTACACACACACACACGCACACACACGCACACACACGCTGTTCCTAGAAGCTAACTTCCATGGCAAAGACGGTGCCAGAGTTCCAGGTTGCCGACAGGTGCTGGCTTAATGGTAAGGATCAGCGTGCAACCAAAAAAAAAAAAAAAAAGCCAAAAAGGGCAGAGAAATTCTCCTGGTGTATTTTTAAATTGATGTCAATGCTTTCTTACTAAACATGGTCTTCTCCTGGTTGTTGGTTATCTCTCTCTCTTTGTCTTAAATTTTAACTATAGTAATTACTTATATGTAATAAATATGAAATTATGATATGTGCTATATTATATATTATATACAAATGTATGTCAAATTTTTGTTATATAAGGATACTAAATATATTACTTATTCTATACATGATTTAATAATGTACATGATACATATATATTGTGTGTCATATATAGAGTATATAATATACAATTACATGCTATATAATTTAAATATATTGTTTGCTATATATAGGATATATGCTATATGATATATATCATATATTAGGTATAATTACATATATATTATTATATTATATAAATACATTACTTAATTTGCATGTATGTCATATATGCTACATTATATACTACCTAATATGCATAATTATTTAGTATATTTCATTATATGGTACATAAATATATTAGTTATTTTACGTACAATTTATGTTTTTATGTTTTAAAGGACTTTATTTGTTTTGGGACGCCTGGGTGGCTCAGTTGGTTGGACGACTGCCTTTGGCTCAGGTCATGATCCCGGGGTCCCGGGATCGAGTCCCACATCGGGCTCCCAGCTCCATGGGGAGTCCGCTTCTCCCTCTGACCTTCTCCTCTCTCTTGCTCTCTCTCACTGTCTCTCTCTCAAATAAATAAATAAAATCTTTAAAAAAAAATAAAGGACTTTATTTATTTTAGAGAGAGAGAGAGAGAGAGAGAGAGTGGACAGGGGAGGGAGAAGAAGGGGGACAGAAAAGAATCTGAAGCCGTCTCCACCCTGAGCATCCAGCCCAATGTGGGGCTCGATCCCATGACCTTGAGATAATGACCTGAGCTGAAACAAAGAGTCAAAGGTTAACTGACTCAGGCTCCCAGGTGCCCATCATATATAATTTAATAATCTATGTGGTCTCTATCATTTCTGGTATGTGTGCTATATGTGTGCTACAGAATAGTTATAATTCTATATTGTATTTTATTATACAGTATATCATTTATTTTATGTACCATTTAATTTATATATAATTTATCATGTATTTTATATATCATTTATTTTATATATCATTTATTTCATATATCATTTATCATTACCTATTTTATATCACTTATTTTATATATAATTTATATATATCATTTATTTTATATATTATTTATCATGTATTTATATATCATGTATTTTATATATCATTTATTTTATATATCATTTATCATTATTTATTTCATATCATTTATTTTATATATTATTTATCATGTATTTTATATATCATTTATTTTATATATCATTTATTTCATATATCATTTATCATTACCTATTTTATATCACTTATTTTATATATAATTTATGTATCATTAGTTTATATATTACTTATCATGTATTTTATATATCATTTATCATTAATTATTTCCTATCCTTTATTTTCTATGTAGTTTCCGAAGGGATATCGCTCGGGACCTCCCGATGTGCTCAGTAATTACGCATCACACTATGACGAAGCCTGAAACATCCTGCGTGTATTGCGGAGCCATAACGGACACACCCGACTGGGTCCGTGTGCGCACGCCGGACTCTAGTTAGCCCCCAACCCCAAAGGTCCCAGCTACCACCCGCTCTGTCCTCCTTATGCGGAGAACGTTGCACAGCACCGCCCGGAGCCGCCGTCGGACACGCGGGGCGGCGCGATGAGCCGGGCTGGTCCTGCGGGCCGGCCCGCCTGGCTGGAGACTCGGCGACGCCGCACGTTCCGACTCACCTGAGTTCGGCTTCTTGGTGGGCTCTGCGGACAAAGAGGGGAAGCGCACCCGGTGAGCCTGGAGCATGTGCCGGAGCCCCCACGCGGAACCGTGCACACCCTTAAAAAAGGCGAAAACTTGAAGGCAGGGATCGGGACGTGCTTCAGACCCGTGTATTTCGGCAAGGGGTGCAGACAGAATGCCGCTTAGGGGCCGTACCTCCCCGTCTTCCCCGGGGACTGTGCAGGCTGCGGTGGGTGGGAGGAAATCCGAGGGGATCCGCTCGCCTCATAAGCACACGACTTAGAGCAAAGCCCTTCCGGAGGTGAGGGGCAGTCGGTTTGCACAAAGGCTGCCTTAGCCGAGAGCCTCCAGGGCCTGTGGCCGCCTTCCACCAGGAAAGTGGCCACGTCTATGGAGGGCAGAGGCAGGGGAGGCAAAGACAGGCAGACGGACATGCTTTCTGCTCCCACAATGCTGCTTCTCTCTCTTCCTTTCATGTGTGTGTTTATTCATTCAACAAACGCTGAGTGCCCACGTGTCTGGGAGAGTGTAACGGGGATGCACACAGCCCGCCAGGGGATTGCACGACCACGAGGCCAGCCTTTGGGGACGTGGACATCGGGCAGGCAGTGCTCAGGGGTGCAAAGCACAGTCTGGGTGAGCCTGGGCGTGGGGACTGCATGCACAGACCACGGGGACAGGAGCTCAGAGGAGGGAGGACGGACAGGGTGAGCGAGCCCAGACGGGACCACCCTGGTGCACAGTGGCCGGGCTGCTTCCAAGCAGATGAGACCACGTGCTCCAACTGCCCTTGCAGTTCGCATCCCATGTCCTCACAGTCCGTCCACCAGCAGGCAGGTGCCAGCGGTCCTCCCTTTCCAGGGCCGCACCAGATTCCCTCCGTGCACGGACTGTGGTCGCACACCTTCTAGCCACTGTGAATGGCTCTGCTGCCCCCGTGCACGGCTGGCCACGAGCACGCACGTGTGGACATTCGAGTCCCTGCGTGTCCTTGTCGTAACCATCTCCCCAGGATGGGAACCGCGGGGTCCTCTGGCAGCGCTGCTTCCAGTGAGCCGCAGCCTGGCCCCTTCCCACAGCCATGTGCCCCTTCTCTGAGTTTTCCATCCCGTCATGCCTGCTGCTCAGGCGGACCTTTGGAAGATGCCACCGGATGCCCTCACCGGGGGCTGCAACCATCCACCCTGGGGCTACCCTGACGTCCCAGTGGTGCAGACCGGGAGCACTGAAGCCCGAGGACCCCAGTGCAGCCTCACGGGGGAAACAGAGTCCCCACCTTGGCACACCCCTGCTGCCCAGCTACACCCGAATCCAGACCCTCCCACATGGTCCAGGAGCCAAAGAGTCAGCTTTCTGGCAGCAAGAACGGGCAGGTGTGCTCAAACGTGGTGAAGACAGGGCGTGGGGGTCTCTCCAACTCCATGCCCCCTTTCCGGGGAAAGCAAGCAGCCCTGTCGATGGAGGCAGATGGAAAACCCGCTGGGGAAGCGTCTCCAGACCCACCCAGCAACCGCCAAGCTGCTGCAGAAGTAAAGCCCACAAGAAATACGGTCACTCACCGGGGTCGTCGAGAGCGTCGGCCAAATCGAAGTCACGCTGACCTATGGGGGACACAGAGGGCGTAAGTGGCGCAGACGGGAGGCGTCAGGGGCCCGGGCTCCTGACTGCAGGCGGGTCCCCTTGCCCCGTGCGTCCACGCTAATCAGGCAGGGGCCTCGGCGCAGAGGTCAGCCCACGGGGAGAGCTCAGCGGACGGTCGGAGCGTCTCCACCTCCCCGTGAGGTTGTCCAACGAGTATCTTGTCTTTCCCAGCAGCCGAGGCCCTTTACCCAAGACGCGTCTTCTGGGAGATCCTGACGTCATCGCTGTCCTCAAGGAGGACGGCATCGTCCCAGGATCTCAACTCCTTCCAGCTCCCGAGCGGACCACGGGGGTGTTTCCAACACGCCGAGCTCCCGTGCACTGTGCAAACTCCGCTGGGTGCTGGGCGGGCGCCAGTCAACCCGGTCAGCCCTGCTTCCCAGCGGTTTCACAGGGACAGGTGCGTGAGCACCCTGAAAGGGAGAAAAGAGAGGCAGCGGGCAACGCACTTCTTAGGTGAGCACACCTGGAGGTCTTCCTGGAGGAGGTGATGGGGGAGCTGTTGCAAAGGTGCCCGTTGCTGTACAAGACGTACGAGAATGAAACACCCCTGTAGTCAGACAGCACGTCTGACACAAGGTAAGTTCCCTCCCCTCCGGGGACAGAAATGGACATTGTCCACGGGGCTGAAAGGGGAACAAACGCAGTTAGCCCAGCCCCCACAAAGCCAGCCAGATCCGCACAAAGAGATTTACAACGGCCCAAAACTGCCACCGGGACTAGCCAGCTCCACCCTGCTTGTCCCTCTGCTCCCGAAGCCGCCGTTTGGGACACATCCCTGCCCCGACTGTGAAAGGGACATCCCCAAAACCAGCTGTTTTCTGCTATTTAACCCCGAGCCCAACCAAGCCTCCCCCTGCCGAGCGAGACAGCTTGGGTGTTACTTTCGCTTTGCAAACTGGGCCTGACAACAAAGCCTTCCCTGACCTCTGTGGGGAGTCCCAGCGCTGCAGGAATTTGGCGAGATCCGTCCCCAGGAGCTGGTCCCGAGCCCCATTTCTGGGTTCCCGGGAAATGCATGGGCAGAATTCTGGGGTCTTTTCCTTTCTGTGCTCAGATACACGGGTGTGCACGCCCCGCCGGGCCACAAAGCAACCCCTCGCTCTCCAGGACCTTCCCCCGGAAGCCTTCGCAAAGCTCTCTGAACGCGGCCCTCCTCCCGGATCTCAGACGGTTTGGAGGCTTTTTGGCTTGCCGGGGGCGGTGGGGGGGGGGGGAACGGTGAAGGAAATCTGGGATCTGGGCAGGAGCGAAGACCCTGTTTCTGCTTTTTCGCTAGTTCACCTTGGAGACGCTCCGAGTGCATCATTGTGCATGGGTGAGGGGGGAGTGTTGGGTCTCCAGCTCTGGGGACCTATTAGGTCCCTGTGGGGTGAGGGCTGCCGTGTTTTCAAATCCCAGGGCTCTGGTGCTGGGCACCACGTCGGGCAAAACTGTGAAATTCTGTGTATGGGTTCCTTCACCCAGCGGCCCTTATCCATGTGCATTTTCTCTAAAGAAAACCCCAGATCTTTCAAATCCACAGAGTGGCCCCCTGCTGCCCCAAGCTCCTCTCCGGCTCACGGAGACTCTCCTTCCTGCTTGGGTTTGCCCCTTTCGCTGCTCCCAAAATTCCAAGAGCCTGATCAGAGGATGTTAGCACTTCTGGCCTATTTGAGTCCCCTTTTTGGGTGACGATTTTTTTTCTTTTTTTTTTTTTGCAAACAGCTACACGGAGAGAATATGCCCATTAAACGCGCACACTTGGGCGGCAGAGAGCGCGTTCCTCCGGGGTGCGGGAGGGAGTGACCACCTGCCTCCATGTCCAGAACACTGCACTGCCTGCACAGGAGACCCACCGGCAGCTGGTCTGCAGCTCCCTCCCCAGACCCCCGGTGACCACAGACCAGGAGCCGGATTCCGGGGGCCTTACGGGTAGAGACGGAATAACACTGGACCCTCGGGCAGCCTCCGCCTCAGCCGCGCGCTCCGCAAAGGAGACTGGGCATCGGGGACAGGGTGACGCCTGGACGCTGGGTGGCCGCCGCGTGCAGCAAGCTTTGCTGGCCAAGCACACACCTCTGAGGGGCCTGCAGGCCGGGGTGCACCCAGCAGCAGGCCCCACAGTCCACATCGGAGGCCCCGGGGGACGTGCCCCCCTGCAGAGCCAATCGCACGGAGCCGCTTCCCACTGTGGGAGGCGCCGGTCCCTCCGTGCGCGCGTCTGCCTGACCAGGGTCCGCTTCGCTGCAGCCGCAGCCTGTCGATCACGCAGGAACAGCCTGGCCCCATCTGCTGCCCCCGGGGCTCTCTCTGGCCGCCCTCGTCCAGGGTGGACGCACAGGGCTGTGCATCAACCTCCTTGCAGGGCGGCTGGGGACGCACAGCCCTTTCTGTGCAGCTCCCGTGTGCAACCCCCTGGCGCAGGCGCTGATGTTCAGGAACGACCATGGTCCTGCTGTACCAGGGCCTCGTCCCCAAAGTGCCAGGCACCCCCACAATAACCCCGCGCCCATCAAGCTGCTCCCAAGGCCTCGACCACGCCTGTTGTCCCGGATAAGCGAAGGCCTCTGTGTTATCTGCTCGGACCGCCCAGCCCTACCGCTGACCCGCCTCTCTGAATGCCTGCGCCCAGGGGGCGGGAACCCCATGCACGGGAATCCCTGACAGCCACCTCTGCGTGCATTAATGGCCAGGGCGCCCCCTCAGTGCCTTTGCAAACCTCCCCAGCTCTGTGCCCCCTCCCTTCTCACCAGCACCGTGGCCCAGATACACGTGCATCCTGAGCTCTGGTGGGTGGAGAGGAGGATGGGGCATGAGGCAGCCACATCTGGAAATGTGGGGTTTGCCCTGCCAAGGCTGGTGTGTGAGCAGAACTCATGCATGCATGGAGGGGAGGGTCCCCGGGACCTCTTGCATCAGTTGTGGACTCTGGCCAGCATCAGGATCCCGTGGAGGGACCGTCCACTCCTGCAAGGCAGGGGGAACTGGCCAGGCACCCAGCACTCCCTGGAGGGGCTGTGGCCATGGTGTGGCAAGGGTCCCCATGCAGTTCAGATCCTAGCTGGGCTGGGAGCTCACTCGGGCTGACGAGGCTGCTCCTGGGGAGACACCCAGAGAGGGATGGTGCTCACGAGGCCATCGGCATTATTTTCCACTCAGAGCACGTGACGCGGCTCATGTCCCAAGACCTGTTTCTCATCTGTTTTCTCCTTTTGCTTAGCAAGCTCGGGGACTTTTAATCAAACCCACATGTGCTGGACCGGGACCCGGGGGGAGAGTAGCATCATGTGTCCTGGGGTTGTGATGCTGGCAATCCCGCTGGGATCTTGGGGATGTGGGCTTACGGTGGCTCATGCTGGTGGGGAGGCTGAGGGTCAGCGTTATACACAGCAGCGCCTCCCTCCACAAAAAAAAAAAAAAAAAAGCTATTTGGGGTCTTTGAGTAACAATTGGAGGAGAACGGTCGTCTCCAGAAGCCAGGAACCAAAGTCGGAATGCCAACCCCCGTCAGCCCCCACGAGACTCCCACCACTCCCTAGGACCCTCTGCATGCCCTGAATTTCTCAGCTACGACATGGACCCTCGACTCCACATGACCCACGGAATCCTCAAACAGCAAGACCGTGCTTGGAAGAATCATCACGGCATGCCGATGCCGTGAGGGTCCCCATTGCCCGTGCGGCCACGAGTGACCTCCACGAGAGCCAGGAGCCATGCACAAGCCCACACCTGAGCTCCCCTTGCAACCACGGAAATCCTGACTCTCTACTGTATCTGCATCCGGTCCAGGAATGTATGCGTTGTTTCTTCACATAGGATTTGACTGATTTCCTCGAGTTGCGGGGCTAATTGAAAGCAGCCTTCAGGGTCAGTTGCTGCCCAACGCTTGCCTCCCCAAGGCTCCCGTCTACAGGACCCAATGCCTTCCTTGACGCTTCCTCTCCTCTGGGGACGTCGCTGGAGCAGGGATGCCCAGAGAGCCAATCATGACTTGCCCCAGGCCAATCTTTTCACTCGGCTCCATTGTTCTTAAAATATATATATATATATATATAAATGTACAGAACGCATATTTTTGGAGCTCTTCCGCAGGATAGGGAAAATTAACTGTGCGTGTATTGGGTTTGCATAGACAGTGACAAGGAGCCCGAAGTGGGGTGCCCAGGTGGGTGGGGGGTGCATCGCCACCGGGCTCTGCATTCTTCCTCTGGAACAGCTGTGCCTAAATCTGTAAGAGTTTCGGGGTGATTCCAAGGTTTCTGTTTTCCTGCAGCAGCAAGGGTTACGCAAGAGGGCTGGGTTCTCAGGCTGCACAACTGCATGCCCATGCAGGGACACCAGGAGGGACTCTCTGTCCAGGGACAGCAGGGCAGACCCTCTATGGAGATGAGACAGTGGTCCCTGGAGCCCCACCCCACCCTTCTGACCCTGCAGCTCAGGGCAATTGAACATCTCCTGGAAGGTCAACCAGTTGTCCCGGTTCCTAGCATCCCCAGGTCCCGTCTGGTTGAAACCCCTCCATCCTGACAACATGCACAGTCCCAGGAAGGGAAAGTACTTGGTCACAAGGGACTAAGGGATGGTCATTGGTGATGCAGTCTAAACGCTCCTGCAAGGTCAACCAGTTGTCTCAGTTCCTAGCATCCCCAGGTCCCCTCTGGATGAAATCCTTCCATCCTGACAACATGCACAGTCCCAGGAGGGGAAAGTACTTTGTCACAAGGGACTAAGGGATGGTCATTGGTGATGAAAGGCAAGACGTCTGTCGTGAAATGCAGACTGTCTGACAAGGCAATATTGGCGGCTGTGTCCTAGACCCTCCCAGGGGGACACATGCACATGGACCTCCGAGGACATGGGTGACACACAGCCTGTGCTACCACAGCTCCGGGTGTGCCTGAGAGCTGCATTTCTCTCCATCTCCTCGGGGAGACTGAGGCTGAGGGCTCTGGGCTTCCCACCCAGTCCTGGAGGGTGGAGGCTGATGCCTCTTGAGGCCTCCCTCCTGGGCGTGTAGACCCTGTGTGCTCACAGGGCCACCCCTCTGTGCCTGTCCACATCCCCTCTTCTTAGAAGGACCCCAGTCCTATGGGATCAGGGCCACCCTAGTGACCTCATTTTACTGTAATCCCATCTCTCAAGACCCCCACCTTCAAATACAGCCCCATTCTGAGATCTTGGGCTTAAGGCTTCATCCTATGAATTTTGAGGGGACACTGTTCAGCCTGTAACAGACTTAAACCATGGAATCACCACAGACATTCTGCTGGGATGGATGGGAGGCCCTCACGCAGCCCCAGTCCTGGGGGGAAAGAAAGATTTTCAGCGGAGCTGCACGAGGACAGGCCTTGTACATTCCTCAGCCTCAGAACTTCTGCCTCCACGCCTCTCAGACCCTCAAGGGCAGGCGTATCAGCCCATAATCCTCTTACGAGCAGATTCTGGTTCAGCAGGTCTGGGCGAGGCTGAGACTATCATTCTCAGCAGCTCCCAGGGGGTGTTGGAGCTGTTGGCCCTGGGGACCATACTCTGTAGACATCCTTCCTCCCAGCTCTGTCCAGGTCACAGAACCTCCCAGGATCTGAGAGATCGTCACCTTCTTCAAGAAAATAAGAGCCAGAGAAGAGCCCTAGGCTGTTTCTTCCCATGAGTAGGAGGGAAGTTAGCTTTGGGAGCCTTGAAAACGAGAGAGGCTGATTGACATCATCTGGGGTGGGGACACTAGATGCTTCCCTCGTGACCTGGGTAAGAGGCAGGAGCTCACCAAATTCCTGACACAAGAGGACCACCTACAAATCTGGGAATGCATCCAGAGTGGGGCTCCAGGAATGGGTGGTGGGGTGGGAGACTCTGTGTCTTGACCCCACCCCCTCCAATCCTGATGACTGCCACCCAGCAAAGTGCCCCAACTACCTCCCCCAGGGATCACCATTTGTCCACACCATATTTTATTGGGATCCACAAGGATAAAAACAAACTATCAGAAGAAAATGTTTTGGGAAAACTCTTAAGAATGGTTTGCTCCAAGGTCGCCTGGGAAAGCCGTCCAAACACTCACAGCAGAAGGCACAATGCTTTGTGAGCTTTGCCCCCTCGGTTCTCAAGGATGTGGCAATTTCTACAGCGCTGTCCTCACCACAGGGACACCTTCTTCAAGGGTATAGCTCAAGGTCATAGGGAAAGCGGGGATGCTAAAAGATTTAACAGACCTCTCTCCACTCCACTCTAGCACCAGAAACAAACACAGGAGTTATTTCTGACGACAGAGCTGCAGGAGACGGAGGGGGCTGAGGACAGGCACATTGGAACCCTCCAGAAAACCTGCAGACTTGGTGTCTCAAGCAGTGGAAGTAGAAACATGAAAACATCCCAAAAGTTTCATATTTTGTGTCAATGTGGACAGGCTTCAGTGCCCGGATATTTGGTCAAATGCTAGTGTAGATGTCACTGCGCTGGTATGCTGTCAATAGGACTGCCATATGCAATCACAGACTGGGAAAGCACATCACCGGTGGTAATGTGTGGGTCTCCTCCATCTGTTGAAGGCCTTAAACGCAATGAGTAATGTTTCCTGGAGAAGAAGGGAGTCAGACTCAACACGGCAGTGCTGTATCCTAGCTGAGTTGCTAGATTGCCCTGAAGGTTTTGGACTTGCCAGCCACACAGTCCTGTGGGGCAATTCCTTACAGTGTATTTGAGTCTACAGATTTATCATGATGATAAGGACAATGATCATAGATAGATAGGTGGATGGATGGATAGTTAGATAAATGATGGGTGGATGATAGATGGGTGGATGGATGTGTACATAGGTGGGTGGATAGATGGATGGATGGATGGATGGATGGATGGATGGATGGATGGTTGGGTGGATGGATGATGGATGGATAGATGGGTGGATGGATGGATGGATAGATAGATGGGTGGATGGATGTATAGATGGATGGATGGATGGATGGATGGATGGATGGATAGCTAGCTGGGTGGATGGCTTGTTGGATAGATGGGTGGGTGGATGGATGAGTAGATGAGTGGATAGATAGATGGATAGATGGATGGATAGAAACATAAATGATGGATGGATGGATGGATGGATAGGTCAATGGATGGACGGATGGATACATAAATCATGGATGGATGGATGGATGGACAGATAGATGTGCGTATGTACAGGTGGACAGACAGTAGGTGGATAATACTTAGATCCATACGTCAGACTCAGGCTGATGGAGACTCTCCTGCTAACGTAAGATTTCTCAACCTGAGCTCCAGCAACATTTGGGGCTGGATCCCTTTCTGACACGTGCAGCAGACATGGGGCGGCCTCCTTGGCCTCCACCCATTTGAGGACACCACCTGACCCACTCACAGGCGTGACCACCAGACATGACCCTAGATAGTGTCAAGTGTCCCCTGGGAACAAAGCAGCCCTCATTGCGAATGGCGGGCTGCAGCGTGTCTGCCTGGGGTAGTCCCTTCCGGCCTGGCCATGCTGGCTGTGGATGCACGGCTGAATGGGGAACCCCAGAGCAGCTGGCCCCTTGTGCCACGGATCCACGGGTCTCCACCCAAGGGTAAAGCAGATGGCCCGGTGCTTACTCATCATCTGTCCCAGGGAGCCCTGACTCTGCACAGCGTCACTCTGGGTGGCTTCTGAACCTACAGGTCCCAAGCCCCACCCACATACCATAGGAGCATATCAAGGGGGCAGCACCTGGCCTGGCATCTTTAATCCAGCTCCCTCCCAGATGACTCTGCACAACAAGATGGAGAACCACTGCCCTACATAGCTGGGCAGGTTAGGCTTAAATGAGACAGGCTTAAACGACTCATCTGGGGCTTGGCCTTCACACCCAGAGACCAGCTAGATCAAACGTAGTTGAGAGTCCACGAGGAACGAGGCAGAATTAAGGGAGACTCTTGGTTGGTTCTGGGGTGCGGTCAGGTCAGCGTGGGCTGGAGTCCCGTGGCCCAGCGTGGCCTGGCCTGTTGCCTCAGGCACGGTCTCACTCTCCACATTATCAGCCAACCACAACGCCCCGCAGAGCTGGGTGCAGCACAGTAAGATAATCATACATTATAATAACGTATATACAAGATACTCTATGTTTCGGGGAGAAACATGCATAAAGATAGGTACTTCCTTCTTTCTCGACAACCCAAACCACAAGCTGGCCATGGCAAGTTTCATTTCCGCTTCTGCTTCCCGACGGCAGAACCTCAGGCCCCTGATGGAACCCCACCCCGTGCCTCAGTGTACCCAACTATAAGGCGGCGGCAAGCACGGTCCCATCATGGGGCTGCGTGAGAATCCGCTGGGAGGCTGATGCGTGCGTTCGGTACAGGACACGAGGCCGTCACGGAAGGAATTTGGTACACGTGGGCCAGTGCTGGGGCCTCGCCAAGCACACCCGCCAAACACCCAGCGGACGTTCCCACCAATGCCCGAGGAACCGAGTGGCTCCTGAAGGAATTTGCCCGCCTTGTTCCTGAAGCATCAGATGGACGGCACCGTGCAGGTCTCATTGTCCCGAGGGGTACGCTGAGCCTCCCAGTGTCCCCACACAATGACAAGATCAACTCTGGGACATGTTTTCCTGGAGGTCGGGCTGGGTCTGGAGCTGGGCAGCTCCATGTTAAAACCAGCATCTTCCCTCCAGCTCCTGGTAGGATGAATGCAGGGACTGGCCTGTCCCTGCACACGGGAGCTCCTGAATGTGTCGCACACCGGGTGAGATCGCCAGCTGACCCTCACCTTCCCACAGGCCCCCAGACAACCTACGCCCCGTCCCTGAACACACCCCGAACAGGAAAAACAGGACGCACCACGACAGGGACGTGGGAACACGATCCCGCCTTCCTAACCTACAACACGTCCCAACCCTCCATCCCACACGCCTCCCCGTGCTTGCAAGGAGACCACGAAAATGACCAGAGGGGCTGCTTCAGTCCCGTATCTCATGGGTTCCGACCGTTCCCAAATAGCCTCTTGCCCCGCCTTCCTACAAACAAACACCCCCTCCCCACCCCTCCCTGCATCTGGGACGCAGCCCCGATCTCCAGTGGCAGCTCCAGGTGTAAACAACTCCCATGACTTTCTTTTGCAACCAGGAAGGATCCCCTTTATCCAAGAAGCAGCAGAATCCAAACCCGCGTGCCAGCTCTGGGTTTACCCCATGAAAACCGGCTGAACTAATCTTTTCCATCGGGAACAAGGACTTTAAAAGACCGTCTGCCCCCGCATTGAGCTTAAATCACGGAGTGGAAGGGCCGTGTTGGAAACGCAGAGCGGAAAGGCTGAGAGCTGTGGGCCCCCAGCGCTGTGGGCCCCCGTTCTGCCATTCTGGGTCCGGGCTCTGGGCTCCAGAGCCGTCCGCTGTCCCCTCCGCCCTCTCAAAAGGCACCAGTCCCGTCTCCTCTAACCGCGTCTGGCAACTTCTCCCCGTTTTTCAGCAGAAGCTGCTTAGGAAGGAGTTTTGAGAAGGCACCAGACAGCACCCACGGCAGCTCTCCCTCAGGGCCGAGTTGGCTCTTACCTTGCACATGCGCCAGGAAGCCCAGCACCGTGACCCAGAAGAGGCCCCAGCGGCTCTCCATCCTTGGTGGCAGCAGGAAGGAGCCTCCTTGACGGCTGCAGCCCAGCGGCGCGTGAGATCCAGCCTCCCGAACCCCACCCTCCGTGTGCTGACTTCCTGTCTCCCGGCTTGGGAGGAAGGGAGGCCGAGTTCCAAGCGGAAAGTCTGAGCCGAGCTGCGATCCCTTTGCCAAAAGCTAATGGGGCCCGAGCTCAGATGACAAACCCCACAGCCTGGGCGGGCGAGCCCTGTGCGTGCACGCTGGAGGTCGTCCCGGGCCTCCCCAGAGCAGGGCTCGCTGGCCGACGCTCAGCACGTTGGGGAAACAGGCACCACCTGACAGCAAGCGGCCTTCCCCGCTTCGGGAAGCCGGCACAGCCCGCTCGACAGCTCTGCTCCCTGCCGGCGTGGGAGGTGCCCCGAGATCAAAGCTTTGCCAACCCTGAGCCCGGGGAGGACGCTCCCTGCCCACAGATCTGTGCGTTCCAAGCTCCCTGCTTCCCCACAGGGGGATTTCAGGACGAGCTCATGCATTCGTCCCACAAACACGGGGGACACAAACATCTTCTGAACCAGGCCCACATTGGGTGTCGGGTTTGCGGCGGTGAGGAATGCATCCTTGTAGACAAAGAGGAGGGGACATGGAAGGTTAAGCCAGACGGTGGTCGGGGGTCATTGCATCAGGCAGGGATGCACACCGAGGCCTCGGGGGTGAGGTGGGGAGGACTGGCAGGCACTGAACTCAGCTGGGTGTTGGAAAACTCTTCTGGGGAGGACAGTGGCCTCAAGAGGACTGTAAATGCTGAGAAGGAGGGACACAAGATGGGACGGACAGAGGGTTTGGGCCGAGAAAGTTGTAGGCTGAAGGCCCTCAGTACAAAAAAGAAGCCCAGGGCCACTATGTGGGACAACTCTAGGGGGCGCCATGCCCACCGCCAATGGTTATAGACTGAAGGTCTGCATCCCCCCAAGTTTCATATATCACAGCCCCATCTTCCAGTGGGATGGGATTGGACGTGGCCCCCTTGGGAGTGACTACACTGAGATCAGGTCATGAAGGTGGGCACCATGATGGGATTGTGTCCTGAGGAGAAGAAGAAGAGAAACCAGAGATCTCTCAGTCCACCACATGAGGACACGGAAAGACGTGGGGTCTATGTCCCATGGAGAGCAGCCTGAGGAGGAACCAGCCCTGGCCCCGCCTGGATCTCAGACTCCCAGCTTGAGCCCCGCCTGGATCTCAGATGCTCAGCCTCTGCCCCGCCTGGATCTCAGACTCCCAGCCTCCAGGACAGTGAGAAATAAGTGTCTATTGTTTGAGCCGCCCAGTCCTTGGTATCTTGTCATACCAGCCCAGATGGACAACTGTGCCAAGTAGGACAAGTGCCCCAGAGGCGAAGAGTAGCCATTATTTGCCTCGTTCCTCATGGACGTAGGGTGTGACTTAGTACATGTCATGTGACAGCATCTGATAGGGCACCCATGATATTCCGTACATCTGGAGGGGATAGTTTGTCTGCTAAACCATTCCTTGTCCATGTAGGGATGGGGTTGTGGCATTTGGAGGTCAGTGGGGTTGCACAGTTGATACTGGGGCCCATTCATTGCTTTGTGGGCCATCAAAATAGAGAATAAAGCCTTTGCCCTGATATTTATGGACTTTGTCCGACTCTATGTTTACAGATAGTCCATATTTCAAATTGAAATGTATCACAGCCAACGTTGAAAGCAGCCCAAGGTCCATTGTATTTTGTGTCTCGTTTTGTCCCGTAGGAAAGGGAGCTAATGACCATGTGAAATGAAAGGGCAGGACCTAGTGAAAGTAATATTACACCTGTTCCTTCCTCCCAACCCCCCAAAAATCAGGGTCATGAAGCCTCTGAGTTGGGCCTTCAAGCACAAGTACAAATTTGATGGAGAGAAAGGAAGGGAGAACATTCTAGGAGAGCAAACAGGAGGTGTGGACCTCTTGAGTCCCGTCTTTGATAATAAGGTCTGAGCCGGGTCCTTTGAGGATTAAAATAACGACCGGCCGGGTCTTGACTTTGCTAGTCCTGGATGCTGGAACCACATCACACCCATAATCAGGGGAGGATGGAGATGGGGTCCTCTTGGGAAAAGAAGCCCACCAGTGCCCAGGAGATGAGTTACAGAGGGGGCTGAGTTTGATGCAAGGAGGTCACAAAAGCCTTTGATCTCATGCTAGGGGAGATGATACCAGGCAGAGGTGGGCAAACCCAACAGTCATGGGGTGGGGTGGTTTCAAGCATTCTTTGGAAAGAGAACCAATGGAAATATGGCACCCGTATCCTATCACAAGAGGACCCTTCTGCAGATCTGGAGAAATTGCAGTCCCTAGCATATGGCAGAGCTAGGATTCAAAGCCAGGCAGCCTGGGGGCACCTGGGGGGCTCAGTCGGTAAGTATCTGACTTTTGATTTTGGCTCAGGTCATGATCTCAGAGTCGTGAGGTCAAGCTCTGCGTGGGGCTTCCTGCTCAATGCAGAGTCTGCTGGAGATTCTTTCTCTCCCTCTACAGTTCCACCCGCTCTCTCTCCCTCTCAAATAAATAAATAAATCTTTAAAAACCATCTAAATCCAGACAACCCGGGTCCCAGACTCATGGGTCCTCAATGTGTCCTGTTGATGGTTGGCCCGAAGCATGGGTTCAAAAACCGCCTGTTACGTTAAACCGAGAGGAAATTGGATGAAGGCGGCTGGTGAAGGGAATGGAGGTGACCATCCAGCTGTCCGTCTTTGGTCCATCGTGGGTTGGGTTGACCTTAGCATTAGAGAGCAAGTCTGGTGCTTGGTGTGAAGAGAGAACTCTGGCTCGGGACCGGTTGGCTTTTCGTTGAGTGAAGAGGGCATCTGTTTTTCTGGTTTCCTGAGTATTCTTTATGTCTCAAAGTCTCACGTCTGTTAGCCATCAACTACTTGGCAATTACCTGCTTCGTGTCAAGCATAGAGAGGCGTGTGACACTGAGCTAACTCAACAGGCATCATGCCCTTGAGAGATGGACAGATTGGTGTTTTCCGTTGAGTTGTGTCTCCTTGGAAACACACGTCATGGTCCTCAACGCCAGGAACTCAAAACGGGACTTTATTTGGAAACAAGGTTCTTGCAAATGTAGTTAGTTATGAGGACCCGGGTGGGCCCAGAGAAGTGGACCCTTGCATGGTGATCCAGGTGGGACCTAAATCCAATAACACTGTAAGACATAGAGGAGACAGAGAGGCAAAGGAGAAGCCACGTGAAGATGGAGACAGAGATGGGAGGGACGTGGCCATGAGCCCAGAGATGCCTAGAGCTCCAGAAGCTGGAAGAGGCAGGAAGGAACCTCTCCAAGAGGTTCAGGAGGGAGCACGACCGTGCCCCACCTGGATCCCAGTGGTCCTGCCCCGCCTGGATCTCAGCATCCCTACCCTGCCTGGATGTCAGACATCTGGTCTCCAGACCTGGGAGACTTGATGAATTCCTGTGGTTTTAAGCTGCATGATTGGTAATTCTTTGTCACAGCAACAAGGAGACATTCATAGACGTCCCTTTCTTTGAAACAAAAGACCAAAAAGGTAATGACTACGCATAAGCCTTTTTCTTCCAGTGCAGAAATTACCCCCCAAGCCCGCCATGCTATGTATCAGCGGACCATCGCCACGGTCACGCCACTAAAGCCCCGTTGTGTTCATCAGTGTCGTTGCAAACTGTCACATGTGCACCTGCTTCATGCCGTTGTGGGTTTTTCCTCCCCTCCCATCAGCACTAGGACTCAGACACAACGGTACAGATCTCGAACACCGGTCGGAGCCCAACCGAATGCACTTCCCATGTGCCCGTCGGTCCTCCCTGACATGTGGACCTGAGTGGGAAAGCACAGGCACTCGCCTTACGTAAGAGCACTTTCAGGGACCCAGAGCCCAGCTTTCCCGTGGCCGCCCCGAGGTGGAGAATGCACGGCAGAGAAAAGGCCGCATAGGGCACCCGGTGAATACCGGCCACCGTTGACACGGCCGGGGAAGCACTAAGTTGTGGGGAAGAGGGTTCGAGGGGTCATGTGCCGTCATTCAGTGCTCTGTCCCTCCAGGACCCGCGGTGCCAGCTGGGACGGAAACCGTCTGAGTCTGCAAAATGTGTCCTGTCCTCTTCCTTCCTTCCCTCCTTCCTTCTCTTCCCTCCCCTCCCCTCTCCTCCTCCCCTTTCCTTTCCTTTCCCTCATTCCCTACAAAAGGCTAAACAAAAAACAAAAACAAAACCAGACAAACCCACGCTATCGATGGTGCAGGCATTTTACAGAAGAGCCAGATTCTTTATATCCTCAGTTTGGAATCCGTCCTCAGAAGAAATGCAGCCGGGTCGCCAAGCCAGGGATGTTTTCCCCGTTTTCCCAGACTTTACGGCCGCGTGTCTGTAAGACCCTGTGATTACGCCTCCTCACCCACCGACACACGCTGACGGACCCTTGCCGGCCGCCTCCCTCCACGCGCCGGCGAAACGTACAAACTCACCATTTCCAAAAGGCTCAGAATCGTCTGACCCAGGCATTCGTGCCCAAGAAACACACAAAAAATAACATCCTGGTTGTGAAGGCGGTTTCTAAACCACCTTCCCCTACGCACACAAAAGAGCTGGGTTTAGCCTAAACAGATGTGAAAGGAAAAGCGAACCCTGAGGTTTTCTGCATTTTTTTCCCCGGCACCTGGAGATGCACGTGTGCCTCGAGCATCTGGAGATCCGGATCTGGTTCTGTCCACCCAGGGCCATCCTGTCGGAGGTGAGGGACGCAGGGCATGCTGGGGTGCACACAGGTGTGTGTGTGTGTGTGTGTGATACTTTCAGGAAACCTGCATGTCTGATCCCAAACTCCCCACGGGACCGTTGAGTGCGGCAGGGGACGTGCTCGCAAAGACGTTTTCTCCCCATTTCCCCAAGCAGGAAAAGGAACAGAGACACCGCTCTGTGGACAAACTTGCAAAACCACACAGTCAGTGCCAGAAAACAGACACCAAAGGCCACATCTGTGTGAGTCCCTGTCCCCGAAGAGTTCACAATGGGAACCAGAGGCAGAAAGCAGATAGGTGGTTTCCCAAGGACACAGTTGAATTGTATCCATCCCCCTCCGTTCCTGCCCCCCCAAATCCCATATTAGAGCCATCCCTGGAAATCCTGCAGAATGTGAGGTTTGCTGGACATCGGGGAAGTGTCAGTGAAATTGGTTAGGACGGGGTCACGCCGGACTCAGGTGGGACATGACCCATGTGCGGTGTTTCCAGACAAACGGGGACGTTTGCACACAGATGGGCACACAGAGGCAGAGTGGGACCAGCCAAAGGACGCCCAGACCCTCCAGCTGCCCCGGGGAGCGGGGACACAGACAGGGAGCAGACTGTCCCTGGGAAGCTCTACGGGGAACCAGCTCGGTGCCCAGCGCAGTACTGGACTTCGGGTCTCCAGAACAAAGACACAACATGCTTCTGCGGTTTAAGGGCTTCCCACCCATGGTATGAGCTGCTACATGCAAGACGGACAGGAGTGTTTTTGCTCACGGCTTTGTCCATCTGCAGCACACGATGGGGCAGAATGACCCCCATCCCAGTCTGGTGAGACGGGGCAGCTCCCAGGTGCAGGACAGGCAGGTGCAGGAAGAAGCCAGCCTCCAGGGAAACCAGATTCCGCGAAACCGGGCTGTGTGCACAAGCCGCATCTGGCCATACGTGGCCATCCGCGGAGCAGTGGAATGAGACACGCTGTTCCCTTGTCAGGAACTCCTGGCCAGAGACGCTCCCGTGAACTGGGCACAGCCGAGGTCAGAAATCCTTGCAGGCCTCCCCAGCTCTGCCCCGTCAAGGGCCAGAGGGGTCACTGGGTCCATTTCTGCAAGCCACGCAGGATCTGGGGAAACCACCCTATTTGGCCGTTACAGGCGGGAAGTAGCCACACGCATTCCGAAAACGGGAGATCTGGACGACCACGAAACGTGATGCGTGGACACAAAGTTTCGAAGTCTACAAAATTTTCATACTTCCCCAAATGTGCCTGTTCTTACAGAATTTTAAAACCACACAGAGTTGCGTGCCTGGGTGGCTCAGCCGGTGAAGCATCTGCTTTCGGCTCAGGTCATGATCCCGGGGTCCTGGGATCGAGCCCTGCATTGGGCTCTATGCTCAGCGCGGAGTCTGCTTCTCTCTCTTTCTGCCTCCTGCTCTCTCTCTCTCTCTCTCAATAAATAAAATCTTTATAAAAATAGGTTAAAAATAATAAAATGATGCAGAGTCATAAAAACCACTCAGATGGCAGACTGCATTGGGGTTCTGGGATGTGGGTTGTGTGGTCCTGGGATGCACGTGGTCGTTGGACCCCCGTGTGTCACGGGTGCAGGACGGCCACGTCATCTGTCCCCCAGTCACAGGACCCCGGTCTCCTGCAGTGGTGTCAGCCCAAACAGCTCCCATACAGGACACACAGACGGGACAGAGCTGATCAGAAGGATTTCATGTTCGCGTCCTCTGTACCTTCAACACCAAGAACCCACGTGGGTCTCCACGTTCATTGGGAACAAAAGCTTCGATCCACTGGAGGGGGAAAGGAAACAGAAATGATAACAACAGGAATAGGGACACGTGTAAAAATGGCAAAGGGTGTCTTCAAATGTCTCCCCCATAAACGGCCAGCAAATGGATTTTCCCACACATCCCTAACCCCACCTGCGTTGAGAGTAACGTCAAACCAGGGATTCGATGCCGTGTTTTCAACAGGTTGGCAAGGCCCATAATGTCTGCACAGCTTTTGGAGGACACCTGGGACAGCAGCGGGAACACTATGGATTTGCACAATCTTCGTGTATTTAGGCTAAACACACACGCACACTCACAGACACACACCCTCACAAAGCTGACCTCAGACTGTAAATAAATAAATACAGACACGTTTGCACAAATGTTCAATGTCCGCGTGTTCCTGAGGCCAACAACCTGTGCCCAGCTCACGCTGGTTGGCTAAACGCATTCAGACCGAGGTTTAAACCCTCTGACTGGGTTCCGGTCTCCCACTAGCCCTACAGAAATTTCCGTTTTTTAAAGGATTTTTTAAAAAAGACTTTATTTATTTGACAGAGGAGAACACAAGCAGGGGAGCGGCAGGCAGAGGGGGAAGCAGGCTCACCACTGAGCAGGGAGCCCGATGGAGGGCTTGATCCTGGGACCCCGGGACGGTGACCTGAGCTGAAGGCAAATGCTTCACCCATGGAGGTCCTCCAGGCATCTCCCCCGACATAAAATTTCTAATCCTGATTTCAAAACCGTAACCCTAAGATTCCTCATATAAAAGCTCAGAAATAATTAAATGAAGCCATTTTCGTTAAGGAAGAAGAGTAGACGTGCATTTCCTTTCCACTCATTAGGAAACAGCAGGAGCTCGTCTGCCACCAAGCGGTGTTACCCCAAAGTTCAAGCAACGTCTCCCACCCCAGCAATTAACACACTTAGTAAAGACATGACCGTTAGCAAATTTCCACCAAAAAACCCACATGGAAGAAGATGGGGGTATCTGAATGCAGGGGCGATATCTGATTCAGGGGAGTATCTGAAATGTAGAGGAGTATCTGACTCAGAGGAGTATCTGACATACAGAGAAGATCTGATTCATGGGAGTAGCTGAAGTGCAGAGGAGTATGTGATGCAGGGGAGTATCTGAATGTACAGAAGTACCTGATGCAGGGGAGTATCTGAATGCAAGGGAGTATCTGAATACAGAG